GAGAATAAGCACGGTGTCAACGCCACAGCGGTTCAAAGAGTTTTGGACTGCCTGTGCGTTGTCACCCAGCAAGGCGATGTCATCGGCATATTTTGAGTCAAGAACCCTGTTCCCTGGGAGGAGTTCGACTCCACCGTTTGCTAGACCGAACAAAGCATTCTGTAGAACATCCTCTATGGCAAAGTTGAAAAGGAATGGGGATATAGGGCAGCCTTGCCGAACTCCACTGGAGACGGCGAAGGGTGGCAAAAGCTGGCCATAGACCCTAACCCGACCTAGCTGGAGGCCAGCTAAACTGTGCTTTGAAGTGCTCCGCCTAGCATGCAAGACGTCGTTGTTAATTGTGAATGGGCGAACCGTCAGCTTCGCAGATCGTTTCGCCCACACCTAAGGCTTTCCTACCGGTGATCCGGATGAGATGGAACAGCTTACGGGAATTTCCCATGGCGGCAGCATGTTCCATCTCTGATGCGCGTTGAGACTACCAAATCTCACGATCTCTGTGTAGGCTTGCATCAAGTTCACGTCTCGTTACGAGTCGTGTTTCATTATGCTCGCTACCGGTCGGAATTGACCGACGTGCGTCAAGAAGAAGTAGAGACTCCGCAGAGATCCACGGTGTCACAGTGCGACGTGTCAGACCACAACTAACTAAATCAGCAGAATGCAGAGCATTCTTAATAAGCGACCATTGCTGGTTAACGTCATCGAGTGGGGTTGGTTCTAGCTTTTCAGCTAGCGCGTTTTGGAAGACAGTTAGACAAGTTAGTTTGGACAGCTTATCACAGTCTAACCGTCGTTGTGTCGTGCGTTTGCAACACCCACCAAAGCACATGGACAGCCTGGCGCAAACTAACGCGTGGTCGGATTCGAGGGGAGTGCTCCAGTACGGTTGGCAGTCTTGTATACAACCCCGCCATTTATAGCTTATAGCGATGTGATCGATTTGCGTTCGTCTCTGACTCGAGGAGGGCGGACGCCAAGTGGTGTGCCGGCAGTTGGAGCGTCTGGAGTTCGTACTGGCGAGGAAAAGGTGGTGGTCGGAACAAAGAGCCAACAGCCGTTCCCCGTTTTCCGAGCGATAGGAATCTAGTCCGAAAGGATCTCCCAGGTGCGCCTCACTCGAAGTCCACCGGTCTACTCTAGCATTCATATCTCCTGCTAAAATTACGATGTCAGCCCGAGTCACTTTACGCAAGATGTCGTGAGGATTGTGGTGACATTTATCTTCGACTGCATCTGGGATGCAGTCCGTTGGAGCGTACGCCGTTTCGTCTATCGTGGCGACGACTGCTTATCTTGCAGGAACCTTTGAGTCTCACTGCGCACAACCTACTGGGATCTAGTTCAGGAGGACGGCTTCAGCTCTCTCACTGAGAGCCAGGCCGACGCCAGCGAGACCGGAAGCCGCAGCCTCAGGGTCCCCAGAGAGGCGTAAGTGAAACTTCACAGATGGGTTTGACGGGGACGTAAATCGGATAATGGAGCTGGAGTCTTGAATGCGAGTTTCCTGGATACAACACATCGATGGCTAGGGTTTCGAGCGTACGAGCTAAACCGGTCTGTTGTCCTATACGCATCAGAGTACACACATTAAATGTGGCTAGTTTGTAGGGACGTCAAGGGCGAAGGATTCGGTGAGACTTGGATTCTAGCCGAGGTAGGACAAGAGCGAACAGCGGCAGAATTTCCGCCAGGGACGCTGCTGTTAGTACGATCGTCTGAAGCACCCGAGAGAGATGGAGTGTTGGGAAGGTAGAGATGAGTTGGGGGGGACAAGAGGGTGTGTAGGGTGTGCAGGATGATAAAGCGTCAAGGTTCATAATCGTAAGAGCAATGTTCATGGGCTGTGTGCGTTGCGGGCTATTGTGCTGTGCTTAACTTCAGGATTACTCGTCCGGTTACCCCACCAGACTCGTGTGATGATGCGACGTAGACAACAGTTTTCGAACACCGACAATCGATTTTTATCCTGTTCCCGTAGAGGCCAAGTCTCTGTACCGTAGAGCAGGACTGGCCGAACTGCTGCAGCATACACTCGACCCTTCACAGACAGAAGGATGTGGCGACGGCGCCACAGATATTTCAAGTTGGCAAATGCCAATCCAGCCTTCTGCATGCGAACCGACATTTCATCTGGTGAGATATAGCTTCCCAAATAACAAAACTTATCCACTTGGACGGGATCTCAACGGCATTCGTGCCACTAACTTCTATTCTGGGTCATACCTTTCAACACCTATAATCGATGACAACCATGATACCTTAGATACCAACCTGGAGGGCGAGCTACAGCAACCGAAGCCAAAGCTGAAGCTATCTTCTCCATACGTCAATGCCACATCATGGTGTGCCTCGTCACTATTTCACTGGTTCAACCGGACACGCGAAGGGACATTCCACGGAACATTTTACCACCAAAACATAATTTGATCACAACCATTGCACGTAAATGTTGTGCCTTTATTAACTTGGTTCGGAAAGTAATGCACCACCTGTTTCGAATAGTAAACTGACTCCTTTATTTATTTATCATTTATTATTTCGTAATTAGAAGAACAGTTCCTGAATTCACGCCAAAAATATGTACAACGCAAGTAAATTCTAACGAATAATGGATACTGATCAAAAACAGTAATCACACGTTGATTTGTAAGTACGGTATAAAGAAGCACGTTTTAATCGAACCAACAAGTAGCGTAACATTGGTAGTTAGTGACAAAAAATGGTTTGGAATGAGAAACTATGGTTGAGTTTCCTGCTAGGCAAAATAATCCTCCAAAGGGCGTGTACATGAAACCAACGAAATAACTTTATAAAACTTCAATTTTAAATTCACCACATCCAAGAAATCAATTATGCTGGAAAACTATGATTTTCATAAGGATTTTATCAAAAACTTGCCTGAAATGGGTGATCGATAGTCAACCAAATGTGGCTGGCGGATTCGGTACAATGCCAGAGCAACAACATGGGGACACCATGAAAGACCCTTGTTCCCACAATCACAGCAGACCGATATTATTTTACACCTGCGGAAAATGATAAACTTAAAAGAATAATACCTGTCGAAGGTTATCGACACCTCAAACTTTCGTCTGTCTGAATCAGAGGAAACACATGGAGGTTGCTTCACAGAACCCGTGAGATGAAAACCTATCGGAAAAACCATAATCAACTTTCCGATCACTAACCTATTTGTATGACATTTTCTACACAATCATTCTGAAAGTATTCTAATCCTTCATAATAAGGGATTTTATCACGGCCCTTTTCGGACTTTGAATGAAAAGAGGCATATGTGTAAATGTCACTGTCACGTCTTGGAAAAGAATGATAAATGATTTTCTCCTGGACAGGTTCCGGAACATGTACGAGAGTTTTTTCAACATATTCAAAAGGCAAGAACTCTGCCACAACACGAGCACTGAGATCGAGTAAAGTAGCAACGGAGTGGCGATCACTGCTGACTACAGATGAGCCTTGATCAAGTCTACGCAATTTGAATGAAGGAGGTGAGGAACATCCATCAAGCCGATGCTTCATATTCGCAACTATCGAATTCCGTGCTCTCTATTACATTACCTGAGGCACTGTCATTGTGTAACAAGCACAAAAAAACATCCAGTTAACGCGCCAACCAGGATTACCGACAGCTGATTGCCCTCAAAAGTGAATTCACCTATACAAACAAAATCGTGTTAGTTTCAGTTCAGTTCAGTTCAGTTGCACAGGACGAATATGGCTCTTGCCAATCGAGCGTCCAGTTCGTTGTGTTGTCGGCGGATGGGATTGGCTTCCAACACTGCGTACGGTTGATTGAGTATTTGTGATCCTCACACTTCAACCCCGTGTCCAGAACGTTGTCTCCTTACGGGTATGCTGAAAGGGAGGAAAACAAGCAAGGATGTCTCCTCGCCTCATTGGTTAGAGACCTCAAGTACACTTGCGCTAGTATACAGCTTACGTGTGACAAAATAATCAGTTTTTTAGACTAATTTCAACACTCACGTTTATATCATTTCACATCTTCTCGCAAAGTAGAATTTACTTTTAATGTTCCCAGTCTAAGTGCTAACTTCGGGGAACGTTTCTGACCAACATGCGTCCAGTGCCACCTTGAAGGTGTTAACATTGGCGCAGTTGACCACTTCTGCAGGTAACTTGTTCCACATAGGTATGACCCTGTGTGCGAAGAAGTTGGACCGTACTTCTAGTCTGGCGTGGTTCTGTTGAAGTTTATAGCTATGACCTCTCGTGTTTTGAGCACGAGCAATCGTAAACAAGTCATCTAGGTTGAGTCCCGATAGACCTATTACAATTTTGAAAGTCTCTATCAGATCTCCCCTCATTCGTCTACGCTCCAGCGAAAAGAGATTTAGATCTCGTAATCGCTGCTCATAGCTCTTCCCCTTTTGCCCAGTCACCATTCGGGTGGCTAGGCGTTGTACTCGCTCTAAGCACGTTACATCCCTCCTGTAATACGGTGCCCATGCCTGCACACAGTATTCCATGTGTGGGCGCACAATCGATTTATACAGTAGGTCAGGCCATTTCACAGAACTAGTAGCTGGTTGCAACGAGAGTTCAGTTTCTTTTGCAATCATCTCCAATGCTCTCGATGCACTCATTACCGTTGACTTCAATGCTCCGGGTCTCGATTAACTCGGAGCATATTTTTAGTGCCAGCCGAATGGCGCAGAGCAACGATTGCCCCTATCCACATGAAAGGGTATGCAACTAACTTCGACCGATTAGCTTGACCAGCATCGTTTCCAGATTGATGGAGCGGATAATAAGAAAAAAGACTAGCAGAATACCTAATAGTCAGTTAGTCAATCAGTTTGCACAGGACAGGAGATACCCACGGCCAATCGAGTTTCCAGAGTTCCTTCGGTAGTAAGCCATGTGTTGGACTCTACCACCGCGAGTGTTCTATATTGTAATTCTATACGTTTTCTTCTCTTCTCAGTCTTCTCCGCCTCTGCAAAGGAAGAGAAAGGCAAAAAAGAACATCTTCTCCCCTTGTGAGAAACCACACATTTGAAAGCGTTCCCCTGATGGGGATGTGCAGTTCTTTTCGAAAGCACAGCAGGGACTCCTCAAGGGTCGATCCTGTCTGACCAACCTCTTAGTATTTCTAGACGAAGTGACTAGGGGGTTAGACAAAGGAGAAACAGTCGAAGTTTGCTACCTAGATCTTGATTCCTTGCGGTACGTTGGAAATTTGATCCAACCTTGTTGTCCAATTTTTGCGAGTCTATATCCCTCGTTATTACAATTATCTTATCCGAAATTAAGAACATGTACTATTTTTACTGAATTTTTATTCGTGTCATCCGCCCATCAGTTACCTCTGTCACTAGACGAAGATGCTCTACCAATGCGTCAAGAACAGGCTACCCTGAGCTCGGAGAACTCTCCGACCGAACCGGTAGGACTCATTCACGAGCAAGCTTTAGAAATAAAAGACCTTAAAGCCAGACTGAGTATATTTGGTGACCAGCTTGCCAGCCCACAGGCGCTAATCCAAACAGCTAGCCCAATAACCTGCGCCAAGAATACGGCTCTTAAGCTTCTGCAGACAGAAACACTGGATGCAACAAAGCAATTAAGGGACAGCGAACTATGTGCCAAGTGGGTTATCTTCTGGAGACGGTTCTCCATGTCTGACACCTTAGAAAGTATATGTAAGCACATATTCAGCCTTCTAGAACCGCATAAATATAAACCTTCTAGCTGCACTTGGCTAACCGCCAAAGGTTCGCGGAGACATCTGGGATTTCTTGTCCACATGGGGTCCTTCGAGCTCTCGAACGATATTCTCAACCAAGCTCTCACCCTCAAAGGCTTGAGAGGTGTCTCCATAGGCAAACCTTTGCACGTGTGACTCTCGCAGCCCAAGGTAAAAGGTCCCAAAGTTGACCCTAGAGATACCGAACTATTGAGAAGCGCCTTTATCTCAGCAGTTCCGTTGGACTCCAAGGTTCTTAAGTCCCAACCCTCTTACTCAGACCCCATACCGTTAGACGAGACTGTAGTTTACCTTAAACGAACGGCGGCCGGCTCAGTAAACAGTAGTTTCACAGAACGAGACCGGACTTCAATCGAGGCATCTGGGAATAAGAGACATAAGAAGCCGAAAAGCAAAAAGCAGATTTCACCCAGCCCGGTCTGCATACTTGCCCCACCTAACACTAAAAGACGTCTCCTCGGGGATCCTCCCATTCGCAACCAGGTGCGTTTCAACATACCGAGAAAATGGCCGGAGGCCGATAAAGGAACAGCTCCCCACCCATCGAATGGTCGTTCGTGAGGTGTACACTCACAGCCCAACAACTGCAACAACGGAGCGATTTTTCGGACGAAGGGGGCGACAGGCCAACCGCCGGAGAGGCTCATGAAGAAAGCCCCTCCGATGGNCCCCCGACCACCGACCACTCAAAATGTACAGCGACCACCACTATTGTCCCTTCCGACCGCTCATCCGACCCCGCCCCACTCCCTACCGGACCTAAGAACGTTGATGGATGCATACTTAAATGCATTTCTAGCAACTGTCTTAGCATCCCAAACAAAGTTCTAGAATTAAAGAAACTTATCTTGGAGCACCAACCTCGTGTTATTTCCCTCACTGGCTCAACGACAATGTTCCACATGGGGAAATCTTCATTCACGATTTTACATTGTTAGGATCAGACTCGGCCCAGGGCAGAGCAGGTGGTGTCATAGCATATTTAAGTTGCGCTCTCCCCCTCCCTTTCTTATTCCAGTCGACCCGATACACCTAATAGATACTTACTGGGC